TACAATTCTTCCGCGGCATGAACCACTGAGATCAATTTACCCAACAATACCTCTTCCACATATCTCTTGACTGGAGGACTTTCGACTACGGAAGGCACATTCTCCTGCCGATACAAAGCTTGAACAATCGGTCATTCTAAGCTCTTCAATCCGCTTTGACCGCTCAAATGGCCTTGGTTTCCCCTATTTCTAATCAATTTCACTACATACCCCGGAGGATCTGCGATACTTTCTTCGGAACCTATCCTATCCTCCAAGACTTCAACATATTTCAACGTATATTCTTCGAGACTTCACTTGGTTCTGCAGATGATCAACACATCATATCCAGAAAGAACGTTTAGTTCCTGACCTACCGAGCTGGCACAGGAGAGGACCCAGGCACGCAATGGCCACTCGCATAACGCATCAGTCTGCAGAAAATTGGGACCCAACTTGACTGCGAATAACGGAGCAAAAAACGTTCAAAAAGAAACATAGCCAGTTACAACTTGCCATTCAATGGATTGGCGGCAGTGTTTCAGGACGTGGTGGGTTTTCGCCTGGCAAGCGTTCTCCCTATAAAAAGCCACAAATGTCCGTTTAACAACACTGCAACGTGGCGAATGTGACTGGCCACCTAATAAAGTCACAGCCCATAACTTCACACTGGCAGCTAAATTAGAATCATCATACTGGATATCTTGCTGTACAATTATCTTCCAATGGATCACTCAGGATTCTCAATCTATTATTAGTCGAGGTATGACTGCGATATATGGCAGAGCGATTATGTCCAAACACATGGATCCCGATCGCACTACCACCAAATCGTTGTTTCGCATGTTCACTATTGCACATTTCCAAGCATGGACATATGAACAATTTTCTACTGTCACTACAGTTCTCATAAAATGTCCGTACAGCTGTACATACCTGACTATGCCTCAATTGGCGTGCTTGGCATAGTCGAGAATAAAATATTTATTTATTTATTTATTTTAAAGTGCAATACGCGACAGGTTAGGGGTACACTTATTTATCATCTCGAATGGTTAGGATCTAGCACATTAGACAACTTTGTGTATATTCGTCGTTTCATAGTTACTGTAGTCTGCAGTGTTACAATAAAAACAGCTTCTGCTCCGTGAACATAGAGAAAGGTTGGATAAGTAGTTGTGCCTTATAAAGCCACCGCCGGAGGCGATCATTCACCTCTTCTGTGCACACATATATCTTCATCTGTTCTACTGCCTTTAGAACATGGAGGTCAGGTGATACACTAAGGACTAACCGCTGATTGCAATGGTCAGTCCAGCCTCTTTGAAGCGGTCTTTTGTGCGAACGCTACGCCAGTTCCATTGGTTAGCCAGCTCGTCCGTGTACGCAGCTTGCAGGATTCTGCACACTGCTGTCAAAATGGGATTTTCGCTGATCATAAATAACTAAATAATTCGATAAATATATTCTCGACGAAACGAGATCCGCAAGTACAGACGTGATCAATTGGTGGGTAGAGCCACAGAATCACTAAAAGCGTGTTCACAGTACACAACGGAAATATGTTGGCAAAATACATGGCTCGAAAATTGCACATAATATTGCATAGGAATGATGTAGGGATGAAGGGCATGCACATTTGCATCAAAGAGAAACTTGGCGCTGAAGAGCTGTGAGATCATTAAGTGTTTCTGTTTTTTAATGACTCAAATATCTTGGTATTCCATTTACTTAGCTCTTTCCACTTTCTATTTTGCCTTCTGAGTTTACTTTTTTCTCTTCCTTACTTCACGTACCCGACCCAGCAGGGACTGCTAGGGCAGGATACGTGAGCATTAATTGGTTGGACAGGGTGTGATGCGGTCTTTGTTTTAGGTCCATCAGTATTTCAAAGTTCGCCAACTCCTGGTTCAACGACCCACCGAAGAAGGAACACTCACGAGATAATCCTATCGTTCCAGTACCGCTTGAACTTGAACTTGAAATTGAATGGTTCAGGAAGTTGCTCTCCATTATTCTGTAGGCGTATGAGTCCGATGGAGTGTTGGTTAAACATGTTATGCATGCAAATATCGGCTATTATGATGATTCTCCATGTGAAGAGGTGGGCAGTGACTTTATTTGGTGGCGATTCACGTCCGCTACTTCCCTGTCAGCACCATCGGTCACTCGAGCGCACGGATGGGGACACTCATCGGGCGATCATGATATATGTTTATTTATGGAAATGCGTGTTGGCGTAGTATATTAATATTTACAGTCAGCACATTGTTTTTATTATTTTGCTTCATAACGATCGATAATGCTCCTGCCACTCTATGTTTAAATGCACCATTTTATTACTGTGCTACTGGCGCGTAATTACCATTTCGCTTCTGTGTCTCGCCGAGTTCGCTGATCCATTTTCGGCTATGGATAAGAAGCCTGTGAACGCCTTTTCAAGTTGCTCTAACACAACTTTTATCGTAGAATACGACGAGTTGAAGATGATATACAGAGAGAAGTGCAAGGAGTTATGTCATTACAAGGTATGGGTTTTTTTCGCGGAATGTCTTTTCAGCTGCACGGGAGATGATAAGTACTGGACCTACCGCACAAGATGTGCATTCTTCGCGCCATGCCGTGCAGGAACCTTTAACGCACGCAGTATCCCCTAATGGTGGAGTCATTCATCACACATATGAATCGGATGTGCCTTGTGCTTCCTCTTTATTAAATATACGTATGCAAATGTTTCATATAACGTACTTTTTTAGCCCGTCCAACCAATTTCTTGCGTCCAGCGGAATCGGTTACCTTAGAGGAAATTCTGCGTGACGTGGCTCTGGACGGAAACTTCACTTTGACCCAGATTAACATCCTTTTGCGCAATCTTCGGCGCCTATATCCTAACTTACCGGTTGACGCTCGTAGCATTTTGAAAACACCCCGTCGGTGTCCAGTGAGATTAATCAGAGGTGGCAGTTACATCCATATGGGTTTGCAGGACGCCATACGTGACGTGTTGCGCAGAACGCATTCACCCCGTCCGTCGTTGCTAAAGTTGCAGATCCATATAGACGGAATGACCGTGTTCAAAAGCTCGCGCAGACAACTGTGGCCAGTACTTGGAAGGCTGATAAATCCGCCAAGCGATGTGTTTTTAATTGGTCTTTACAGTGGATTATCAAAACCTATTAATGTGCATGAGTTCCTGCGGCCAGTGGTGGATGAATTGAAGGATGTGTTACGCAAAGGTGTCTGCTTGTGTGATAATGATGATGCTATAGATATCGTGCTGGACTGCGTGATAGCCGATGCACCTGCACGAGCATATGTTCGGCAGGTGAAACAACATTCCGGATATTTCGCCTGCGAGAAATGCACAATAACTGGTAAGCGAAGCGTAAAGTTTGATAAACATTTGCAGGTTCGCACGTTGATGGTAGAATGACCTTCCCTACCGAACCCCAAAGCTCATTACGTAATGACATGGATTTTAGAACACGAAAACAACCGGAACATCACATCGGCGAATCACCTTTTGAGGCTCTACGGATTGATATGATAAGTTGTTTCCCACTTGATTACATGCACACCTTGTGTCTGGGAGTAACACGGAAGTTAATAATGCTTTGGCGTTGCGGCCCAACACGTGGAAACATACGATTGCCATCAAAATCCATCGACATTATCAATGAACGACTTCGCATTTGTTCGGCTAACCTGACGTGCGAGTTTCCGCGCAAATGTCGCACGTTTGAGGACGTGGAACGATGGAAGGCCACGGAATTCAGACAGTTTCTTTTATACCTGGGCCCCGTAGTTTTGCGCGGCGTGTTGCCCGAAGACCTGTACAATAATTTCGTTATGTTATCCGTCGCCGCATACATTCTGTGCTGCCGTAGGTGGTGTTCCCATTACCTTTCGCATGCGAAATCAGTATTGAATAGGGTGGTGCGTGACATCGCGAAGCTGTACGGTGAGAAGGAGGTGGTCTTCAACGTGCACTGTTTAGTGCATATGTGCCAGGATGTCGGGCGCCTCGGACCCATGGATAATTTTTCCGCATTTCCCTTCGAATCGTTTCTACGACGGCTTCGAAAGCTCATAAATGGCCCGACGTCTGCGACGTCGCAAATTTTTCGTCGCGTAACGGAGCGAAGGTTAACCAATGTCACAGATGATGGCGGTTGTTTGGACGACACTGGATCCACCGTAATTATGCGTCGTGGTCGGCAACAAACCAGTTTCTTACATTTCGGTGCGCTGATTACGAATGCGCATCCAAATAATGCTGTCATCGCACGTGGAAGACCTTCGGTAGTGCTGGGCCAGCGTGCTAATGAGTTATGTGTGCAGCATTTCACACAGACTACGTCGCTGTTCGTAAAAAGTTTGCCGTCCACGGACCTACGTATTTTTAAATGTTGGGGTTCCTTAGCTCCACCGACATGGATTCCATTGAGTGCAATCGGCTGCAAATGTCTGAGATTGCCGTGCGATGAGTACATTGTATTTTACCCCATCGTTCACAGCTGGCGGCACAAGGATATCAAGAAACATGCGACGTAGGTAAGCTGTCTTCATTTATCATTTATTTGCTTCAGTTAACAGTCCGTTTTATACTTTTAACCTGGGTGCGCAAAATCGTTGTACAACAGTAACGGCGTTGCGCCGTTACTGTTACGTTTTAAGCACCATGGAATACACTGCATATGCTGCTGCACCTGATATCGCAAATAAAAGTTTCCCCACCGAACACATTTACCTCTTCTAATAAGCTCGTGGAAATGCTGTGCTCTGACCCCTTTTTTCAGATGTATCGCGTGGTCGAATTTCAAGATTCTTCCGTTGCGGTGGTTCTGTCATCCTGGATGATTAATAGTGAGGAAGTTCTGTGGGGACGGTTATCATCAAAACAGTTACAGGATTTCCTGATGCACCGTCTGCCACCACCTGCGTCCGCTGTGACGTACAAAGTACGAATACACAGTTGTACAGGTGAGGTCACAGAACGATTTATTTATACGCATTTTTAGATGATTACCTTGAGGCTAAAAATTTGGAACAGAGCTTGCTAACATCAGCCGAATTACCATCTAGCGACGCAACGATTCCAATGCTACGATGGGGGAAGCGAAAAATGTATGTTGTAGATAGATAGTATATTATCGCAGCACTGTAAAAACCTTTCCCGACTGTGAGTCCCCGCCAACCGCAACGCGGGGTACTGTTGAAGTCGTGAACTTGGATTTATCACCTCCACCACCGAAGCTGTATTTGGAGGAGGAATTAAACGACGGTTCTGATAAAGAAAATGGATACCTATCAGCCTATCCCCATACATCCAGGTAAACAATGCATTTGTTTTTACACTCGTAGTCCGATTCACCAAGACGTTGCTCAGCCTTTACCTGTTTGCGGAACATCCTGTGACAGCGCACTGCTGTTGGAAATGAATGGTTGGTTCACAGCGTCTCCGAAACATTTACTTGCAGCCACATTGCGGAACGTAAATCGCGAAGTGATGAAACTGCGCGAACGAATGACTGCTGTTGAGTTGTCCTTGAACGCGCTGCATGCACTTCAGGCGCCAAGTTCCAGCAACGCGTGTCCATTTCCATTACCAATGGACACAATAGCGCAACTGTCATTTTTAAATAATGCACTGGAGAACGCTGAGTTCATGAACAGCATGGTAAGTCTCATGGAATTTCACTTATTCGTAGGTGCACTATTTATCCAACGTAAGCGGCCGGACAACCTCAGAAAGTGTGCGGAACGTCATGCTTACTTGCATGACTAACAACTTGGTCAGACATGTGAACTGGCGTGGTGTGCATGAGAAGTATAAAATAGCGAACACACCATTCGCGCGAGCGGTCCTTGGTATGTTACCTTTTAAACAACATTAATATCTTCACCAGATTCCATTATGAGAAAAAACATACCAGGATGCACAGAGCCTGATATTGTTGATAAGTTACGACGCTGGATACAACGAATTAAAGAGCGTGAATCGTGGATACGAAAGGAAACAGAACGGTTATCATTGGAAAATTCTGCTTTGTAAATTATGAGATCCATATTACACTATGTTTTCGCGAACTGTGTTATGTTCATGGCATGCAATGTGTGCGACCGCATTAACGTGCTTGCAGTGGTATGGGAAGGGAGGATAATGCGGCTAGGCTTTACCCGTTACGGCTGGAAATCGTGGAAATGTGAGCGTGCGAAGGGAGGCGCCACGTTATTTTTCTCCGCGAACGCCCGATGAGTGACACAATTTTGTGCCACTCGGGCGCCCATCGGGCGCTCGATCGGTCACCCAACGGGCGCCCATCGGACATCCAACGGGCGTTCATCGGACACTGGTGCTGAGTGGGTTCGCAGTGTCGTTAAACAGACATTTGTAGATTTTCATAGGGCGAACGCTTGTCAGGTAAAAACACAACATGTCCTGGAACACGGCCATTGACCACCATGTAAATAACATTGACATATTGTTGTTCGTCGCAATCAGCCGACAATTCAGATATGTCGACCAGCTATCCGGAAAAGCACCATGGGGCTCATCAGTGGTGCTTTTCCGGAAAGCTGGTCGACATATCTGAATTGTCGGCTGATTGCGACGAACAAAAATACTCACCGAAATCCTTCCACTCATAAAAACCCTGACATACTTGTAACACTTTTGTAGTAGTGATTTTCCGAACAGTTAATCGCAGTCACGGTACACCCGATTTTCCGTTGGCTCAGCTGTGCAGTTTTTTCTTGCGACTCAGCGTCAGGCACATTCGGCGCTGATCTGCTTGAGCTTACGCTCCAAGTATCTTTGCACCAGTTCATTGACCTCCCCACTAAGTACATGGACGCCCAAGTACCGTCTATCTTAGACCTTGTATTTGCTAAGTCACTCGATTTTGCTGGTGACATTACTTACGGACCTCCACTTTGTTCCAGTGATCATGTTTGTTTGCACTTCAGTCGTACTCTGTCTAGACGCTACCAGAGTACTGCTGAGTCTCGTCCGAACATATGGCACGCAGACTGTCAATCCATGAGAGCCAAGGCTTCGGGTTTGCATTGCGAAATCTCAGACGACGATACTGTCGAGGTTGCCTGGGATAAATTTAAGTCCTACCTCACAGAGGTCTCTGCTCCCTTCATCCCAGTCACAAGGAGAAAGGAAGCACGAGCACAGCCGCCCTGGATAGATCCCACTGGCAGGCATCTGCTCACAAAGAGGTCTAGATGTTGGCGGACTTACCGAGATGCTCCGTCTATCGATCCTTATGACAGGTACCGTAAGGCTAGAAATAAGTGTAAGCAACACCTAAGGAATGCTCGGCTTAATTTCGAGAAAGGGTTAGCGGACGAAGCTTCAGAGAATCCAAAAATATTCTTCTCTTATGTCAAAAGGCGCTGCGGTTCGAACATGTCAATTCCAGTATTGATGCGTGATGACGGTACTCTTGCGCATACGGACTATGACAAGGCCTGTGTACTCAGTGGGAAATCTGCGACTGCGTTTGTAAGGGAAACCTCTTTGACAGGCGTGGAGCTGGTTTGCAGGACCCCGGATGGTTCAGAACTATCTGAATTTATTGTAGCGGAGACGGAAGTTCGTAGGCTGGTAAAAGGGCTGAACCCTTCTAAGGCCTCTGGGCCTGATTTAATTCACCCGAAACTGTTACATGAGTTGGCTGCGGAACTAAGTGGACCGCTCGCTAATGTGTTTCAGAAATCGCTTGACAGCTGTGCATTGCCTTCCGAATGGAAGGAAGCTGTCATCTGTCCCATCTTCAAAAATGGAGACAGGGGTCTGCCTGCAAATTACAGGCCAGTTAGTCTGACGAGTGTAGTAGTCAAACTCCTCGAGAAACTGGTGAGACATTCATTGGAGAGTCATCTGAGTAGATTTAATCTACTTAGCAATGTGCAACACGGATTCCGGAAGGGATTTTTGTGTCTGACGAATCTACTGGTGGCTCGCGAAAGTTGGGCGGATGCAGTGGATAACGGCCACGCGCTGGACGTGCTTTTCGTCGACTTTTCGAAGGCATTTGACAAGGTACCACATTTGAGGCTCGCGCAAAAGCTGTCCTCCTTCATTGGGTGACTGCCTTCTTGCAGGGTAGAGAACAGTGTGTACGGGTGGACCGGGGCCTATCGTTTAAGCTGTCTGTCCTCTGTGGCGTGCTGCAGGATTCGGTCCTTGGACCGCTGCTGTTCTCTATCTATGTGAATGACCTACCCACGGAGCTTGAGGTACCATCGCTGATATTTGCTGATGACCTGAATCTGTGGAACATTGTCGATGTTCCTGGGGGTTCCGAAGCTATTCAGCGAGCATTGGATAAACTTTAGGACTGGTCTACTTTATGGTTACTGCCCATAAATCAAGCAAAGTGCTCCGTTCTTCGAATTGGAGGAGGTTGTCCTCCTACGAAGTACGTGGTCGGTGGGCTCGAACTCCCCCGTGTATCTAGCCAGATTGACCTAGGCGTCGTACACTCTTCGGCTTTACACTCCGGCGACAACTGGAAGAAGGCCGCAAGCAGAGGTTTCCGCATGTTGTGGTTAATCCGACGTTCTTTCGGAGTCTTGACGGGCAGCATCTTTACGAGGCTGTTCTCGGCTTTCGTTCGGCCTCATCTGGAATACTGCGTCCAGGCTTGTCCGCCCTGCCTCGTCCGGGACAAAATGGAGCTAGAGAGGGTTTTACGAGTGGGTACTAGGTTAGTCGAGGGATTACGGGGACGGACCTACGCCGAGCGTCTACTTAGTTTGGGAATGCATTCAGTGCACTACCGAAGGCTTGGAGGAGACCTAATCCCAAACTACCGTATCTTAACTGGGAAGGTTGCTCTAGATTTAACTTGGTTATTTAGTCCCGCTAGATTATCTGTCCTACGCGGTCATTCTTTGAAGCTGGACAAACCGCGGTCCGATCGAATTAGGGCGGAAATCCGGCTGTCAAGCCGAGTTATCGACCGCTGGAACATGCTTCCGGAAAGTGTTATCAGGTTAAGGGGTTTGAGCGGCAACTTGACGCTCTTGGGTGACAACATGAAACCTTTCCATTTTCCTGAGTAACTCGCATCTTCGTACTTCGATTTTCTTTTCTCTACTTTTCTTCACGCCTTGGTATTGTTTTCTTATTTGAGTGCACTTCCTTATCCTGTACCTTCGATTTCTCTTCCTATCCTTTGCTTACTTCACGTGACTGCCACAGCAAGGACTGATAGGGCAGGAAACGTGGGCATTAACTGGTTAACCAGGGTGCGATACGGGTGTTCCGTTTTAGATCCATCGATAACTGAGCACTTCATCAATTCCTGGCTCAACGATCCACTCAAGATGGAACACTCACGGGATTCTCCTACTGTTCCAGTCCCATCTGAACTGAACTGAAGGCTTAGTCTGGATTCATCAGTAACGGTTGGGGACGGCGGTACTGTTCGGAGGTTGGCTGTGTAAATTGGGGTACTGCGTTATGCTGGTGACTGTGACTCAACTCATAAGCAGTAGCATTGTCCAAGTAAATAACCCACGGGTCAAGTGGGTGTCGCTTGCAGGTCCACTGGAGATAACCATCGCAGCTACGTGGAACGCTTGCATGCAGAGGAGGTCTTGAACGGTTGATGAGGTTTCCGTTGTCTGTGGAATCAGGTATGGCAGGGCACAGTAGTATAGACCACAGACAATATACATCCGAAAGGTATAAAATATGCATACCATTTTAGCGGGGTGGGTGAACTACCCATTGTATAATGCGCCAATTAGATGAGACTTCTGATACCAGGAAGAAATAATCCACTGGCATGGTGGACGGAGCATAACGCCATGGAATCTCAAGTAAGTTGAACGCTTGCAAGGAGATGAAGATTTTGTTCAGGAGATGTTCTGATAGTGCTAATGAGTAGAGGGTACGGATCAGAAGGCTGGCGTGGTAGAGGGAGCATAACGCCATGGCTTCTCGTGTTTATCACTTTCAGGGAGATGAAGGTTTTTATGTGATGTTCCGGAGGTAATACTGAGTTGAACCCAAGTGTTCAAAACAGTGGAAGGTAGGGAACAAAAAGCTTTCATAAGAGAAAAGCTTCCAGGGGCCCAGAATTGTTGGCCGACCACACTGGCGAGGTGTGTGACGTATCCAACAGATACTGACGCCAAGTATATGAAGGACCTGGTACCGGAAATAATGCACTGACCATGTGGACGGAACACAACGCCATGTCATCGCAAGTAAGTTGAACACTTGCAGGGAGATGAAGCTTTCTTGTGTTGATATTCCGAGGCGAAAATCATTTGAACGCAGTCGTTCAAAATACTAGATGATGCATATCAAGGGGACAAAAGGCCCGAGCTGGTGGCATGAGCTGTCCACATATGTCTATAGGTCATATTTATTAATACGACGATTTAGGTATGTTTATTCGGCACTTCTATACAGGTTTCGCGGGTACAAGGAAGTAAAAGTCACGGGAAGGAAGGACGTCGAAAATAAAGAAAGAAGTAAGATCTGGAGACCTCGAGCCTTGCCAAACACTTCACCTCGTTTTATATGTGTATCTATAAACTATAGCGGCACCTGTTTGTGTGTTGCTTTTAACACCGGAATGAGAATAGAAAACCCGTGTACAGAAACTAGGTGTCAGGATATGTGGGGCAGTGCCACAAAGGAAAGGAGGTGCAGTGCACCGGTGTGACAAAACGGACTATCTCATTAAAGCGGTGAGTAATTAGGCCAAATGCTGCAGCAATGGAACCTTGGCGATGCCAGCAAACCAATTGAGCTAACAGTGAAATAAAATGGCACAGCGGCGCCCCAGTTGACTAAGCAAGCCGAAGGTTGAGCTCTACGGTGTCACAGTAAGTTAGAT